TATTTAATATACTTTCCCCTTCTCAGATTCAAAACCAATGTGCCCGTGTGTGCATCCAAAAAAAAAAAAGTTTAATGTTGCCAGATGTTGGCAAGTTCTGTTTGTGTTAGGCATAACAATTGTCTCTGCCATAAGAAATTAAAATAAAAATAGAATTTTTATTTTAAGTATTAAGCATTTTTTTAACCACTGGGTAAACTTCATGTTTTGTCACCAAAGAAAAGAGAGTTTGGGGTATAGATATATAGAATGTTTATAAAAAGTGAGACAAATATTTTTGCTCTATCCATTTTTTCTAGCACTGAACTTAACTGAATTATTCAATTACCAAGTTCATTACAAATATAGGAAATCTTACCATCCTGAGCGTATTTCTGTTTCTTTAGAGATTATAACACTGATGTATTGACAACTATGTTTTCAGGAAATAATTGAAATGTATTACCTGCCCTGAAATTAGTCCATAAAAACTGATCCCTTGCATTTTGGACCTTTCCTTTAAGATTAAAATCAAATTGCAAAAAAAATCTATCCTCTGTAACATAGAGTTGATAAGACCCTGTGAGACTGGTGCACTCAGATTTTAGAAATAAAACAAGTCATATTAGCCCAGAAAATCTCCTACCAATAGAGCAAAAACCAAATCCCAAGTCGTTGCTTGTCACTGGGAAGCAGTTTCCTGATATGAGAAAAATTGTCAGCAAAAGGACAACCAGAAAACACAGATGACCAAAGTTTTTATTTTATTTTTGTTTTGTTTTATGTAAATTCATATTTACAGAGGTAGCACAAAATTTCAATTATGTCTTTTGTAAGAGCACTTTTGGGTACATCGTAAAACCAACTCATTTTTATGTTGTTTAGTTTAACCCATGTACTATCAAATTGAAAAAAAGTATATTATTCAGTGACACCCAATGATACTTAAAATGTCACTATAAAATAAACTGAATCTGTCCTCATGGTTTCTCTCATGGACATTGGTTTTCAATGCTTCTCTTTAACGTGTTATGTTGAATCACACATACAATGCTTACATTACAGAAATTGTTACATGAAAATTACAGTGTTTTATGGCTTGATATAAATCTTAAATGCATTGGGAAATAACTTTGAATCCCCTTAATTCAACTGAATGCAACAGATGTGTAGTGAGTATCATCATACACGTGGCACTTTGCTCAATAGTGCAGGGTGCAATTATGCAGAAACCCATGTATCCAAAGTGGTGACCTTTTATGATGCTGGTGTTGCTGGGAGCTGCCGGTCAGACAATCAGCTGTGCTTAGAACACATAGACCCATATTGCAGCCAACAGGGGATCCAACACGGCCCTGCTGACTTTTTTTTTTTTTTAATGAAAAGAGCTATCTAAACACTTCTTTGGAAACCAGGAAGTTGGAAATTTCCAACTTCCAATTTTTTACCCAGAAAACTGAACTGCTAGATAGATAAGACACTCCTAACAATCAGAATGTGGCTTCCAACATTTTGACAAATGGCCCAGTCTTTCTCTGTGAGTCACTTCCCTTCTTGATGTATCAGGTTGTCTGATGTGAAGTCCCTCTTGTGAGTTATGGGGATTGGGCAGGATCATGTGTACTTTCTGGGGGTGGAAATTCTACTAACGAGTTTGCTACAAATGTCATTCAGTGTTTTATCCTCTCATATCTCGTTACCTCCCCCATGCTCAGTAATTTTAGTTTGTGCTTTTTTTTTCTCTTTTTGTTTATTTGGTTTGCTGGCTTTGTGTTCTTTTCTCCTTTTTTCCCTTTCTTTTCCTTTTTTTAATGCAGGAATCGGCCAAGGGGTTCCAGTGGTGGCGCTCATAGTGGAAGGAGGACCCAACGTGATCTCGATTGTTTTGGAGTACCTTCGAGACACCCCTCCTGTACCAGTCGTGGTCTGTGATGGGAGTGGACGGGCGTCCGACATCCTGGCATTTGGGCATAAATATTCAGAAGAAGGCGGGTAGGTGAATTATCAGGCCCCAGGGTAGACTCCTGAGTACAAAGCTGGTGTTTAAGGTATGGGAAAGAGGGCATCAGAGTGTGTTCTCTGCTGTTCAGTCAAGATCTCATATCCTAAACAGCTATGAACAATTATCTAAATATTGACTGTGGGGGTGGTAGAGAAGAACAGAGGACAACATCTAAAATGCCCCTGGAGTGGGGAATCCATGAAGGCTACCTTGAGACCACATGAGGATGGGGAGGAAGGAACTTAAAGGGTGTGTTCTTTTATCTCAGTTTCTCCTTCCCTCTTTTCCCTCAAGGAAGGAGAGGCAGGCACTGGGCTATGAGAAATGAAGCAAACAGAATATGGGTAACAGTGCAGGGTAGCCTCCAAGAAAAGCTGAGTTGGGGCCATGAGTCTAAGAACCATCATGGTCAAGCTGCTGTAAACACTTTCGGAAGATTATTATCAAGTACTTCTCTATTGTCCTGGAAGGTAAAACCGCGATAATTGGTTACAGCTCTGGTCCTTTGTGAATTACTCCCAGAACTCCTCAGCCCTATATATTTTGCTTGGAGTATCAGCTTTTTAATGCTGCTGTCTAAAGTCCAAAGCTTCAACTTTCCTGGGAGAAAGTCTCTCCACAGTGGCCTAATAAGACACTCCTGCAGGTCATGGAAGTAATTTGAAACAAGATGTGAATGAGTTTAAGGAACACAACCAGGGAAAATCACTTAACTTTTGCTTTTGGTTGATGTTGTTTCTGGGTTTTCATTTGTTTTTTGTTAGTTAGTTAGTTTGTTTCTGAGAATTTGATATGAAGAGTATAGACAGACAATCAAAGGCTGCTGAGAGAAAGAGAATCATTCTTCTCTACAGACAAGGTCTCTGATAGGTTACCAAATCCATAGTGGTCAACTGTTAATGCATACACATACACACACACACACACACACACACACACACACACCACAACATTAAGTCAAACAAAAAAGCAAAACACTAATTACCCAATTTTTCTAGCATATGGTTAGGGTGACAAACAAGTCCCAAAGGAGATAAGGCCTCTTATAAATATAGAGTAGCTGTCCAAGGGTACCATGAACTGTGCAAAACATTGAGATATAAAAAAAAGAGCAGCCTGGAGATGCCACCCTCAAAAACCATAGTAAGGCTAGTAGGCAGACCAGTATGCAACTATAATAATGAAATTACAGACGAGCTAGCCCTGTGGAGAGTACTCCCTTTCTACCTCTCTCCTTGCCAGTAAAGAGATTCCACATGTCAGCCACTACCTCCTCTCCTTTCCCTTTCTTCATCCCTGTTTTGGCAGCCACTAAGACAGCATGTTTGCCTGGTTTATACTGGAACCAATACGTGTGAAGTGGAGACTGTCAAAAGGCTGAGGGCTTCTATGCCACTCCTGAATGCCATGACAGTGACCTGACACCTAGAGATCTGATGGTTCTAAAAACATCCTCATCAAAGTTAAAGCTTAGTCACTGCCAAATTTAATTAAATTGCCATCATCATTCTTCTTTGGGAGAGTAAGAACTGACCCATCTTATTACTGAGGGCCTAAAGAGAGGGCATTTGCCCAGTGATCTTTATATTGACTAACAAAAGTGTTTGGTAACCTTAATTGTTTTTAATTAAATTTTGCCATAGTTCTTATTTCTTTCAATATAGCAATATGATCCTTTCATCTGAAAACAGCTCTTAGCTCTTAATTGCTTGTTGACCCATTGAGTTTGCTGATTGTTTTTGTCATATGTCCACAAAGCAGATATGGGTTTGCATTTGGAATGCAGGTTTCCTTTTCTTTCCTACAAAACCAAAAAAAAAAAAAAAAAGAAAGAAAAAAGGAAGGCATTCTCCAATGTCTCTGCTATCTTGGATCATCCAAGTGACAGTCAGAGTCTGGTGCCTATTATTTATTATTTTTAATGCTGTGTATCTTGAACATATTAAAAAATCTCTCTGATTGAGCCAGGCAGTGGTGGCACACATGTTTAATCCCAGGACTTAGGAGGTAGAGGCAGGTGGATCTCTGTGAGTTCAAAGCCAGCCTGGTCTACAAGAGCTAGTTCCAGGACAGATTCCAAAGCTACAGAAAAACCCTATCTCGAAAAACCAAAAAAAGTCTCTGATTATTACTATTTAAAATATGTAAGAAAAAATGTGAGTTTTAAGATTGGAAGGGGCAGTGGGCAAAACATGATTGATAGAATAAAGACAATTCTCCTGCACCACAAAAGTTACCCAATTTTTTTCAATAATTTATATTTAATATTATTATTAGCATATGTATTCCTAACATACAAAAATAGTGCAGTGGACTATTAATCTAGTGGACAAGAAGTTAAATGCTTTGTCCAAGTCTGCACAGTCTATGAGCTCATCCATCTGGGTTATTAGCAAAATTTACTGAAGTATGTTTCATGATGCATGTTTCTGTCCTACTCAGGAAAGGTCTCAATGACTTCTTTAAACTTTTTTTTCTTAATATATTTTAATACAATCTTTTCACATTTTGCATAGCTATCTCTGTTCCTACTCCCTCCCCTCTTCCTACTTCCTCTACCTTCCCCCTACCTCACCTCCCCAGACTTCTTTAAACTTTAGGTGCACAAAAGTGTAACATGAGCAGTCTGCTTATTTGTGTTTCTGTCCTGCTTGGTTCCCACAACTGTTTGGCCCCAATGAAAATCACACATAGGTCTCCATAAATTATAAGCTGATTGGCCCATTAGCTCTATCCTCTTTCTGGCTAACTCTCACATCTTGATTAACCCATTTTTCTGATCTATGTTAGCCATGTGGCTCAGTACCTTTTTCAGTGGGGTAGATCACATCATGCTGCTTCGGTGATCTAGGCAGGAGTGAGAGGAATCAACTTCCTCCTTCCCAGAATTCTCCTGTTCTCATTGCATCATTTCTACTTCCTGTCTGGTTTTTCCCGCCTATATTTCCTGCCTGGCCAATCAGCATTTATTTAAAACATGATTGATAGAATAAAGACAATTCTCCTGCACCACAAAAGTTACCCAATTTTTTTCAATAATTTATATTTAATATTATTATTAGCATATGTATTCCTAACATACAAAAATAGTGCAGTCCTGGTTATGATCTTGTGTCCAAGTTTTGATTTCTTTCTCATCCTCACCTAGACCATCATCCACCCATACCCATACCCACCTAGACCATGATACACTGATCCTCATCCCCACCTATACCATCATCTACCCATCTTCAACCTCACCTAGACCATCATCCATCCTTTCCCATTCCCACATAGACCATCATCTACCCATTTCCAACCTCACCTAGACCATCATATACCCATCCCTGTCTTCACCTAGACTATCATCTACCCATCCACATCCTCACCTGGACCATACACCCAATACCAATCTCCAACCTCACCTGGACCCTCATATACCCATCTCTATCCTCACCTAGGCTATCATACACCCATCTCCAACTAGACCATCATCTACTCATCCCCACCTAGATCATCATCCATCCACCTCCATCCTCACTTAGACCATCATACACCCATCCCCACCTAGACCATCATCTACCCATCTCTGACCTCACCTAGACCATCATACATGCATCCCCATCCCTACCTAGACCATCATCTACCCATCTCTGACCTCACCTAGACAATCATAAATCTATGCCCATCCTCACCTAGACCATTATACACCCATCTCCAATTTAAAACTCAAAAGGACTGTGAAGATCTAACTTCACTTGGAATTCTTATTTCTAACTATTTTATAATCTAAGTATGCAAAATTCCCAATCTATATAGCCTCTACACAAATATATGAACCATGGGCAGTCAAAGAATCTGAACTCACTCACATGTTCAATACAGAGGCAAAGAATTAAAATAAAAAGAAATTGTTTACCACACATGTGCATGCAATTTAAAGTCATTTCCAATGAACATTATTTTGTGGCAGTGTACTTTCTTTACAAGAAAGGAAGGAAGAAAGGAAGGAAGGAAGGAAGGAAGGAAGGAAGGAAGGAAGGAAGGATGGATCTTGCTAGCCTTCATTGACCAGGAAGGATTTCTTCATTGATTTTTCATATTCCAATGGAATTGAACATTCTGCTACATACATATATTTATATAAATAAACCTATATAAGTAAATGCATCACTGTCCAAATAAAATTAGATATAGGGAGCATACACATCCTAATTACAAAGCTTTCATTTCCAAATAGATTAATATTTTTGCTGATTTTTTTATTTGGGAATTTATTTACATTTTTAAAGTTAATTTAATTTATGGATTGTTAAATGATATAGCTATAAGGACTATGAGTGTGCTTATTCAGCTATGTGGCCTTACATTTTAAAATCTTAAAGAAACGACCTTTTCTCCCCTTACATTGTGGTGACCTTTCTAGTCTATCATTGAGTTCCTTTCCAAGAATATGAATTGGAAAGAAAATATGAATTGGAAAGAGAATATGAATTGGAAAAGAATCACTTTGGAAGTGAATTATAATTCGCAAAACTGATTATCTCCTCTGAATGAGATTGCTTGAGATAGAAACAGACAGACTGTGTCTATCACGGCGCAAATGGGCTTGGATACACTAGGAGACAATCACAATGAAATGCTTTTTCTGTGTGTGGTGCTGAGGTTAAAATTAAATTCTATGTTTTGTCTTTTCCCTCCCTATCTGTTCAGTGACATGTGGTGCCTGGAAGAAATGGCCAAAGTCCATTTCCTTATCACCGTAATGGGTTTTCTGTTTACCTGTCATAGTTCCGAGTGAAGCAGTAAGCACTTTCCATAATTAATTCTCTTGCTCCAGAAATATGATCAAAGCTTTCTTCTTAATGGCAACTGACTAAACCCCATAAATACAAATATTAATGCTACCAGGAACTGTTAGATTTAATTACCCATTGCTAAATACAAAGACTTTCTTGTGTTTGACTAAGCAGACAAACAGCATTGCCCGGTGTCTGGAGCACCTTTCAGTGTGCAGCTTCCTGATGCTGAAATCATCAGGCCTTTACCTGATGACTGTCAACCTCGAGTCTCAGGCTGCAGAGAAATGGGATCTCACCCCTTCATTTGTCACACGGGGAACAAGTGTCTAACAATGGACAGTGTCAGCATGAGAGCATCGTTTGAGCCCATGTGTGCTCCAAGGAGCTGCTCCTCATCCTCACAGTTTTATTACCAATGCTTATATTTTCTTTAGAATTTTTGTTCAAAACTTACCTCCTGGATTTACCACAGTTTAGACCTAGAAAAGAGGCACAACCAGTCAGCTAGCATCCAAACAGAAAAACATGCCTTAAAGGATTTTTAATAATTTGTTCCTAACTATTGGGAAATTATCAAATTATCAGTGAGGCATACACACCACTCCTAGTCTAATAGCATTTTAATTAGGAATTGACTGTGAAGGGCATGTGAGCAGTTTGTTGTTGTTGTTTGTTTTTGAGACAGCGTTTCTCTGTGTAGCTTTGGCTGTCCTGGAACTCACTCTGTAGACCTTGAACTCACAGAGGTCCACATATCTCTGCCTCCCAATTGCTGGGACTAAAGGCATTTGCCACCACTGCTCAGCCATGAGAAATCTTACTCTTGGGAGTAGAATAAGAAAAGAATGTAGTGTGTTGTGTGGTATGGGATGTTTGTGTGAAGAGAGAGATGAGAGAGGTGGGGGGTGATGGGTGTGTGTGTGCGCGCACACACACACTGTGTGTGAAGTGGTAGAGGGATGGTGTGGGGAGACTGTAGAATTGGGGATGTGGTGAATGGGGAAAGTATATGTGGTATAGGACAGGGGTGATACGGGGTGAGCGTGGTATGGGAGAGATTTTGGGGTGTGTGTATGTATTAAAAATATTCTGAGACTTTTCTACTTAAGAACTTTTTTTATTATTTATTAAAGATTTCTGTCTCTTCCCCACCGCTGCCTCCCCTTTTTCTCCCCCTCCCCCAATCAAGTCCCCCTCCCTCGTCAGCCCAAAGAGCAATCAGGGTTCCCTGCCCTGTGGGAAGTCCAAGGACCACCCACCTCNTCCCTGCCCTGTGGGAAGTCCAAGGACCACCCACCTCCATCCAGGTCTAGTAAGGTGAGCATCCACGAAACTGCCTAGGCTCCCACGAAACCAATGGCAATGGGTTTTTGATTCTACTTAAGAACTTAATAAGAATTCTCATGAGTTTTTGGTTTATTTTCGTTTTCCTTGATGTTAGCCTTTTTTTATTGAAAATAGATTTTTGGGGGGTCAGCTAGGATGAAGGCATGAGAACATCAACTAACTATAAAAAGGGAAAACTACATTGCATGGTTTCCAATTTATGCCTGCAAATTTCTTGAAGAATGTTTGTTTCTCTCCAAATACATATCATGTGTCCAAAGACAAGAGAAAACCATCAGAAAAGCAGGTGTATTAGGAAGCTGTGAGTAGTCAGTATTCCCTGGGACATGGCATTCTGTGCAATAATCACAAGTGTTTACTTCTGCTGCTCCAGAGATTCAGCTCACACTGAAGGATGTCAAAGCCCTATCATTTTTCTGTATTGCGTTCTGCAGAAAGTAATTGATCTGGATGGCCTGCACCCCAGCATGATAGAGACATAATTGGAATGCCAAGGAAGAAAAAGAACCCAATGGCAACTAAGCCGATTTCAAGCGTCAATTTTAGTTTTTGTTAATCTCACCTGCCTCATCCCTTTTCTAGAACTTTTTGTAAGACGTGTCAAGCTGATTCTTTTTCAATTTTCTTGAATTAAATCATAGAAAAAGACATCAAAAACAAAGACTAGAAGTGGTTCTCCTGTTACTTCTGTAAGCGTTGTTTAAGAGGTACCCACTATGTGCATGAAACTTTTGGAAGTGGCTCTCAGAGACACTGTAACAAATATTCAAACACGTGACTACAGGGTCACATGGGCTAAAATGCTTAAACAGTACAAGATAAAATACTGAGTAGGGCATTTCCAACAAGACTTTTATGGTATGTCAGTTATCCATAAATGTCAATATAATCAATCTACTCCTTTTTCCATCTTTCCATCAAATCTCTTTTTAACAAGGATCACCCTAGACAGTAGAAGAAGAAAAATAGTTCTCTCCGTGTAACAACCCCAAAGAAAGATTCAACCCCAACAAAATGAAAGAAACTGGTAGAGAAGACTATTTTTTGTTATTGATGTGATTTTTGAAATTGGTAATCTCTAATCCTCCTACTTCCGTCTCCTGAGAGCTGGGATTTTAAGCAGGCACTAGTGTAAGTGGTCAAGGAGAGGAATTCTTTAAGATGGCAGGCTAGCATTTGTGTGTGCTCATGTATGTGCATGCTCACACACGTGTGTAATTAAATTTTATGTCTATATTTAAATTCAATGCATTAAGTGTAATAAAATATAGTAAAATAACTAACATAATATTTACTCACATATAATTATATAAGTACCTATATCTTTGTATATACATCCAAAGGATTTAGTTGAAAACTTAAACAGAAGACTGATTGCATGACTCTTCAAATTAATAAATCACTGAGTGTTTTCTAGAAATCATTTTAGGTGCCAAGGGTATTATGGAAAGCATAATTTTCCTCCAGGAACATGTAAACAAATATAACAAATAGTTTTCAATGTTAAATTACTGGGTTTTGAGGTGGCAGAAGGCACCACAGAGAGAAAGTATCACAGTCAGTTTTCTCAGAGGAATATAAATATACAACCTCGTCACAGTGCCCACATTCTGTGTAGCTAGAACAATTGTTCATTTCAGCACAAATTATATAAAACTTTAATCTGACAAGTTACTGTTAAATCTCTCCATAACATGTTAACATGGGGAGGATAAAGCATTGATTTTTTAAAAAAAATGATCTCAAGCATAGAGAAAATAACATGAAGGAGAAAGGTTTTATAGACCTAAGCTAGCCAGCCAACTCTCTACATTAAATATGCTTTAAAATTGCTCCACTCACCTAGGCAGTTTGGATGCTCACCTTACTAGACCTGGATGGAGGTGGGTGGTCCTTGGACTTCCCACAGGGCAGGGAACCCTGATTGCTCTTTGGGCTGACGAGGGAGGGGGACTTGTTTGGGGGAGGCAGAGGGAAATGGGAGGCAGTGGCAGGGAAGAGACAGAAATCTTCAAANAGGCAGAAATCTTAAATAAATAAATAAGTAAATAAATAAATAAATAAATAAATAAATAAATAAATAAATAAATGAAATTGCTCCACTCTTGGCTCACTGGAAAAAAAAAAATGTGTCATTGAACATAAAGAGCCGCCATCCTCAGAAGGTATCTGGGCAAACCATTATTGAGAACTCTTGACTGGAGTTGCCAGAATACCCAGGGGAAGATTTCAAAGGTGCATACTAACCACACACCTTTATGTACTGATTTAGATAGACTGAAGGCAGAACTCAACAAACTGTTTAAAACCAGAACTCAGACAGTCCCAATGAAAAAAATGCAGGTACCCCACTTAATCCCAATGAGAATAATCTATGAGCCCCACTTCACTTAGATAATTTAGATTATGTGAAGATTAAATTTCTCTGATACATCTAGTGTTTTCCAAAGTAGCTTCCCCGGGTCTGTACCTGGTGAATACTCTCCTCAAGTCACTAGACCATTGGTGCAGGTCTCTGCACCTGCTGCCACACTTGGTCTTTAGAACCCAGTTGAATAAGAAAGTGTATTGACCTTGAATCTCCGCCTACCCCAGCTGTGCCTAGTTCTGATCAGATTTGAAAATCCTCCCCTACAGGATAATTTTACTGATAAAGTGCTCATCTTGATAGGACTTTTAGCTCTTAGTACTGTTATTTGAATAGATTTCTTAAGAACATCGGGGTCCTTCATTTCTTGTCTTTTGCAAATTATTGGGAATTTTTATTTTTTAAGTTGGTATTCATGGCATTTTCACACGTATGTGTAATTTGTTATAATTCATCTCCCCTCCTGCTGTCTTCCCTTTGACTTACTATCTGAACTCTGATTGTTCCTTTCCAAGTATATTCTGACTAGTAAAAACACACAGCCAATTTTAAAAGGTAGACAAGTGGGAAAGCTGAGAAAAGCAGTGTTTGAGGGGGAAATGCTCTGGATGATGAGGAAGTTACAAGCAGTAGGAAAAGCATTAGATCAGCATGGATACCATCCCACCTCACTTGTCATTAACGTAATAGTTATCAGAGAGAAACACTACAGTCCCAACCTTCCATATGATTGGTTTTCCCTTTTTTTATATTTATTTATTTTTTTAATTTCATTTCACATCCCAACTACAGTTCTTCCTCTCAGCCCTCTTCCCACTCCCTCCCCTCCCCCCAGACCATCCCCCATCTATTCCTTCCAAAGAACACATCAAAAAAAAAAAAAGTATCCACCATGACCAAGTAGGCTTCATCCCAGAGATGTAGGGTTTGTTCAACATATAGAACATCTGTCAATGTAATCCACCATATAAACAAACTGAAAGAAAAAAAATAACACGATCATCTCATTAGATGCTACAAAAGCCTTCTACAAAATCCAACACCCCTTCATGATACTTACTTTTAAAAAATAAGTATTTTTATTAATTCTTTGGGAATTTAATTCACTATATCTTGATCAAATTCACCCCCAAATGCTCCCCTAATTATTTCCAGATCTACCCTTACCTCCCTACTTCCCCAATTTTGTGTCCTTCTAGCCTTCATGGGTACCGAGCACACAAGTGGTACACAGGTATACAGGCAGGCAAAACAACCATACACGTGGAATAAAGAAATAAACAGTACC